CAAGAGGCAGGACAGGCCTGCCATCTCCTGACTGCCAGATGATCTGGGCAGAAAGCTTGGAAGCAGCCACCAATTTCCACAAGGAACTTTGCTCAAAATGGTGGTCACTTCTGGGAGGCAGCCAGGAATGAATGGCTTTCCCCAACATGAGGTCGAGATCTATGTGAGGGTAAGGATCGGAAGTAGGCCCAAGTCCAGTAGAGACTCAGTGTGGTGGGATAGGGAAGAGTCAGATGGAAGGGGGGCATTGCAGTGTTCCTGTGATCACTGTCAGAAGACCGCTGAAACTTTGAAAGCTTTGTGGGGGGGGGGGGTCTGTCGTAGCTTCAAATAGCTACTAAGTAACAATATATATCTCAAAGACTATTTGTAATAGGACAATATGCAGTTTTGTCTCAATCCTTTGCAAATATGTGGCTCCCTGATCTGTGTACAGGTTTCAAATAAGAACTATTAGATGTTCTAAGATTTCCATTTTCCTAAATATATAAGAATTATAAAATCATAAACTCATAGGGCTGAAAGGCACCTTGGAGATCTTCTAATCCAACACCCTGCCCAAGGCAGAAGAACTTATATCAATAGGCACAAATGACTGTCCAATCTTTTCTGGAAAATCTCCAGCGATGGAGCACCCACAATTCCAGGAGACAAGCTGTTTCACTGATTGTTAATAATGATACAATAAAAATACTTTGTATAATCAATAAAACACATGGTGGTTTTTTTTTCTATTTTTGTTACCATAATCGTTAATTGGGTGAAATTTGTATCATAGGACAATGATTTTTGAACTAACTCAAATGGGCTGTCAGAATACCTCCAAAATCCATGACTCCCATGAATTGAAACTTGGCAAATTTTATAAAACCTTTATGACATAAAATTATCATAACTGTTTATGACATAATGTAAAATGTCATTCAACGTTTCCTGTGCTGGTATGTGACTGTGATGCACAATTCAACATGGGTTATCTTCAAGGTATATATGTTTCTGAGTATATGCCAACTTTTCTGGTGAAGACAGTACATTAGAAGTTGTTTTTTTGTGGAAGGCACTGAGAACTCTGGTAAGGAAACACCCCTGAAATAATGACCCAAGCAGTCACCAATTGTCTGGTTGCCACTAAATTTATCATCCATTTTTAGCATCTTCATATATTGCTGTTGCCCAATATAGATGCCTACTTTTTATTGGGGTGGGGGGGGCTTAAGTGACTCAATTGGATTATAAATATGTCACTGGTATTCTTCAGAAAGAGCCTCTGGCCACAATAAGGCAGTATAACTGATATTGTAAGAAATAGCCTGTTCATAGTAGTCTGGGTATCTTGCTAGATTAATAGTTTTATATAAAGCAGTTAAATATTGTGCTTTATATAAAACTACTTTTGAAGATAATCTGGAAGCAATAGTTGGTATAAAAGGTAGCCAAATTGCACTAAGGAATGTTTGCAGAGACTATTCAGCACTATAGTGCATTAAATTGTCTTATATTGTCCCAATTAGTTCCATGCTTTAATAGCAACTTTTAAAATACTAATGATGCTCAAACATCGGAGAATACTTAATAACTGGAGGGTCTAGAAAAGGAAATGGAGCCAATTCAGCACGAATGTAGAGGGGCCCTAGAGCCATAAAAGAAAATTTATCTAGAAAGATATTGTCATTTGCTTATCTATTAGATGCAAATACAATTAGTTTTGCAACCAAGTTTCATCAGTCTTCAGTTAAAATACAGGTAATCTTCAATTTACAACCATAACTGAGCCTAAACTTTCTGTTGCTAAGTTGTTAGGTGAATGTTGCCCCATTTTACGACCTCTCTTGCAATAGCTGTTAAGTGAATCACTGCAGTATTAAGTTAATAACAAGGTTAAGCAAATCTAGCTTCCCCATTAATTTTGCTTGTAACAACAGGTGATCAGATGACCGAGGACATTACAACTTTCGTAAGTATGAGTCAGTTGCCAGGTGTCCGAATTTTGATCATGAGGATGCTGCAACAGTCATAAGTGTGAAAAACAGTCTGAAGTAACTTTTTCCAATACCACTGTATCTTCAAATGATCACTAAATGAACTGTTGTAACTAGAGGACTACCTGTATGTTGCTGAAAAAATGTTTCATTGTTAAGTGAGAGCAACACCACTTAAAAGAAAACTGTACTCATTTTGCAAGGAATAAACTCCACCGAGCAAAATGTATTTTGTGGGGTTGTACAGAAAAAGCTTGCCATTGAACATAGAACATCAGAGTTGGAAAGAGATTTGAGGCTTTCTAATTCAAACCCCTGCTCAAGCAGGAGATTGTATACCATTTCAAACAAGGCTCTTCTAAAAAGCTCCAGTTATGGAGCACCCACAACTTCTGAAGGCAAGTTGTTCCACTGGTTGATTGTTGTCATTGTCAGGAAATGTCTTAGTTCTAGATTGCTTCTTTCCTTGGTTAGTTTGCATTCATTGCTTCTTGTCTTGCCTTCGGATACTTTGGAAAATAAATTGACCTCTCTCTTTTGTTGTAGCCTCTCAAAAATTGGAACACTCCTATGTCATTCCTAGTCCTTTTTCTCACTAGATATACCCAATTCCTGCAACTGTTCTTCATGTTTATCCTCCAAGCCCTAATCATCTTTGTTGTTCTTCTCTGCACTATTTTCAGAGTCTTAAGATCTTTTTTATGTTGCTGTCATCAAAATGAATGCTATATTCCAAGTGTGGTCTTACCAGTCTTATAAATAAAACACTTCATGCGATCTTCGTTCTATCCATCTGTTAATGCAGCCTAGGATTGACTCTTTTTTTGGTGGCGGCTGCATACTGCTGACTTATATTTATGTCATTGTCCACTAAAATTCCAAATCCCTCTCAGTTACTGCTATTGAACGAAGTTTCACCTAATCAGCACTTGTACATTTAGTTTTTCTTGCCTTGCTTTTCTCTACATTGAGTTTCATTTTGTTAGGTAGGACACAGTGTTCCAATCTGTTGAGATCCTTCTGATCTTGAACCTATCTTCTGAGGTGTTGGCTATTCCTGCCAGGCTGGGGTCATTGGTAAATTTAATGAATTCCCTTTCGATTCCATCATCTAAATTGTTTATGAAGATGTTGAAGAGTACTGGGCCTAAAACCAAACCCTGGGATATCCACTGCTTACTTCTCTCCATGTAGATTGAGGATTACATATTGAGTGCGGTTTGTCAGCCAGTTAGAAATCCATGTGATGGCAGCTATCCCACATTTTTATAGCTTATCAAGAAGTAGGTTGTGGTCTATTTTCTCAAATGCTGTGCTAAAATCCAAGTACACTATGTTTACAACATTTTGCTGGTCCATTAATTTAGTAACTTTGTCAAAGAATGAAATATGATTTGTTTGATATGTTTTTGCAGAAACCTGTGTTGGCTTCTAGTTATAACTTTGCTTGTTTCTAGATTTTTGTAGATTTGTTGCTTATCTTTTCTAGGATCTTCTCAGGTATTGATATCAGACTAATTAATTGATGGTTTCCTGGGTGTCCCCCCCTCCTTTTTTGAAGATGGGAACCACATCTTTTCCAGTTCTCTGGTAGTTGCTTGGTTTTCCCAGAACTTTGAAAGATATGGTTCAATGGTTCTGAGATCATGGCTTCCAGCTCCTTCAGAATTCTGGGATATAATCCATCAGGACCTGATGATTTGAATTGTCTAGAGTGGATAGGTGTTCTCTTACCATTTTATTGCTTAATTTAATTAGTATTCCTAGTCTGTCATTTACAGTTCTGTTTCTGGTAGCTTGGCCTAGTTTTATTTTTGCATGAAGACAGATGCATTACAGAATTAAACAGCTCTGCTTTCTCTCTGCTGCCTGTAACTTCCTTACCATTGTCTCCCATTAGTGGACTGATTGTTCCCTTGACTTTTTCTTGTTTTTTATATGGTGAAAGAAACTTTTAAAAATTATTTTTGACATTTGTTGCAAGTCTTAGTTCATTCTTCTCTGTTAGTAAGAATTAGGTCCACTCCACCCCACAAAGGATTATGGGGTCGTTAAAAGAGGATGATGATAGCAATAGCACTTAGAGTTATACCGCTTCACAGCCTTCTCTTAAGTGGTTTACAGAGTCAATATATTGTCCCCAACAATTTGGGTCCTCATTTTACCCACCTCAGAAGGATGGATGGCTGAGTCAACTGTGAGATTTGAACTGCTAAATTGCCAGCAGTCAGCAGAAGTAGCTTGCAGTACTGCACTCTAACCACTGTGGCACTGTGGCTCATATAGTTTCCTTTCTACTGCCCCGCTTTTGGATTACAAGTTGTCAGCAACTTTGTTATTAAGGAGCCTTGTTCCATCCCTCACTTTATGCAGTTCATCTATCCAACCCAGACTTCTTCAATTCATTTAAAGACACAGCACAGCCCCCCCCCCCCC